TACTTACGGGCGTCTTCAAAAATATCAAATCGATTCGTGAGTGTAGTACCGCTAGCGGGCGTGCTCTGGGAAACCTTTTGTTTTCCAGAACAGCTTGAGAAACGACGGGAGGCGGGCTGACAAGGGATTCTACTGTACAGTCATGCCACTGGGTGCATGCATATTTTGGTGTCAGAATGAAGAGTTTTTGAGGATGTTTGGTGGGGTGGAACGAGGTTAGGTGACCAAAATTGAAAGCCTATAGGCAGGGTCCAAAGGCATGAGAAAGTAGGAATAGACAGGATTGATAAGCTGCGTGAAACTTAGGCCTAAATCACTTCCAACAGGTTAGTGAACTGGTCGTGGGAGGGACCGCAGCATTCCTGTTGTTGCAACTTGACCAAGTAACAAGGCTTATCCTAGTTAAATACTTGCCGCATCCATCTCGAACACAGTGGATAGACTCCATGATCTTGTTCTTATATGATTTCTCCAAGGACGCGGTTTTAAGAGAGTAGGCGCGGAATTGAGGGCAAAACCTCATGGGTAGACGCAACTGAATGCTTTCCCGGCTCATTGGGTTGGACAAGTTTCAGAGTCATGTTTAAGGACAAAGAATTTTCTGGGAACAAGTGACGCTTGTGCTAGAAACGCAATCTCCGGGTAGAATCATACAATACAGTTGGGAGAAACCAAAGATTTAGCGCAACGCTCGCGGAAAGGACAATAAATTTGGTGGCCAGTCTCCAGTCTGTGATGGAGAAGGATGCGTGGAAGTTCTCAGTCCACACGGGTTGGACAACTGGCCTGTGCATGATGGTCTGATCTTGCTGTGCTCAAATTTGGAAAATAGTTTAGCCGCAATTTTCACCTCTCACCTCAAAAGCATTAGCATGGTCACAAAGGATGGCTACACAGAATAAGGCAGAACGTCCGCACGTCGCGAAAGGACAGGTGTTGATCCCCCCTGTGAATCAACGGCGAACAAGGGTAACTCTCCTTGTTTTCTGACTACTCACGAGTAACATGACTTACATCTGTTTATTATGACACCGTTTCGTTTTCTTGCTGCTCGTTTTCCCCCCGCTTTGTTCCTACTTAAGGTCTGCGTATCCCTCAGTAAGTGATGTCAATATCTGTTGCCCGTCTGTCATTGCCTACAAGTTCGCCGCGATTGCACCTATTTTTTGAGCGCCCACTCCGACGGAACATCGAGCTGACCGGGTATCGAACCCGGATCCTCCGGACGGCAGGCGAACGCGCTACCGACTACACCGACCCGACACCCGGAGCGGCTGATTATTTTGTGTTACCTATGTATCACGCCTGCCAGATAGCCCCTGCTGAGCTTTGTTTTAAACGGCCGAAACCGCGCAATCTGACCTGTCACGCGACACGAGCGGCTGCGTCGACGCCAACCGAAAGACAGTCCCTCACATTCCGAACGTACTGACTCCTGCGCCGTCACGGCCAACTCACCCTGTCAGACTGCCCCTATATGTATGTTTGTACATCGTTTGGTACTTACTTGTTGTTGCCCCCATAGAAATCCTTGCTGTGACAGTGACTGCTTCCCGCTCCTGCAGATTGCGTCATTGTTGATTGTACGTTTTCTTAATTCATGATGCTTACTAATCCGTTTTTCCGTAGAACCATTTCCTGTCAGTCTTCCATATATCATCTGCTGCCCCACGTCTGTCTGCTCCTATTGATTACTGGCTACGAACTGCGTATAATCTAATAGTCGCAATCGTCCTGTGAGATCCTTAACCGTCCGGATCTTACAGCAGGCAAGGGGAAAAACTTAACTCAGCATGTCGTCAAAGAAACCTCAAAACCGCAAGTTAGAGCCTTTCTAGTTGCCCAAACCAATTCTTTTCCCCTTGACAGTGCTTTTGTTTTTTTACAGATTCATAGAGTGATAAACACCCAAGTTTCTCGGGTTGGTTTCTTTCTTTTTGTTCATCGGCTGGCGTGCACTTCAAGAGCACAAGCGGATTAATGGTGCAGCACTACTCTTTATTCGCTCAGCGCAGGGAAGTAGGCTCGCAAGCGAGAGAACTCGAATAAAAGTTGTCAAGTAATGATTCGGGCTGGGTTATAGAAGGGGCGTGAACAAGCGTCGGTGGAAGGATATTGCTCGCAACAGCGACTCGAAATGAGGAAAATTTTTACTTCATGATAGTATGTGCTCTGAGCTCAAAAATCTTTTCATGTCTCCACCTTGTGTTTACTTGGTCGACGTTGAAAAACCTGTTAGCCAAACCTTGTTCAAAAATGGCATATGGAGGTCTCATGTGGGGCGACGATACTCCAGAAGAAAGAGGCCAAGCACCGCGAGACGCGTTTCACAGTCCACGGATTCAAGGCCGGTGACCATTTTCGAAGCGGCTGGCGGGACACCGTCAAGGAGGGTTACACCATTCGTGTGTCCTGAGTAGACAACTTGGTTGGCTCATTCCAGAAGCGGTCTGACTTAGGCCCCAAAGAGTATTTGGGAGTAAACATTATTCTTAATAATACGAGAGAAATTCCGCCAAATCATCCATAGAACGGCGAGTACCTTTTGGGCCGATCTCTCATTGTGCAGCGAGAAGGACATGTTGGAAGAGAGCCAGACGCCCAAATCCATTTCGGCATCTATCCTCGTGAGGTCTTCTGGTCCATTCCCACAGGCCTGTAATGGGCGTTCAATGGGTATCCTTCGATTAAAACGTGGATGCACTTCTTGTCACTAAAAAGAAGGCGCGGGTCCAATGCCTACTGCTTTGCGAACTCCAGATCCATTTGAAGAGGGTTGGCACTGGAATCTCACGTCACCCGCAAAAAGTGGACATGGACCCGGAAGAAGATCTGGAATTTCTTCGGCGTGTACCAAGCACAGAAGCAGTCCCCAAACGGAGCCTTGTGGATCCCCAATGGAGACAGGCGCTGGAGAAGAGGTCGATCTTATTCTCACTAGGAATGACCGGTCTGATAGGAACTCTTTGATTTAGTGTAGGATTACCACTTGAATTCCGTACGGCTCGAGTTTGTGGAGCAGCGGGACGTGTGATACCTTATGAAATGCCTTTGAGAAGTCAAAAATTATGGCATCTGATATGAGTCCCTGGTCCTTGGCTTGGGTTAGGAGGTCCACAAATATGAGCATGCTCGTCAAGCAAGAAGGGTTTTGGATGTGAGGAGGACGATGGGGCTGAATACTGACCCGCGTAGTGTTCTCTGTATAATACAGACACGGCAATTGGGTCACACGTGGGTTCGCTGTTCCTGTTCCTCAGAAAGGACGCGGATGGATTATTTATTAGGCGATGTCTGATGAATTTAAACAACACATTGCTCTTTTTCCGATAGGGCCCGGAATGGAGGCTTGTTCTCGTGTGTTCCATCGGCGGATTTCTGATTTACAGCGATTCCGCATTTTACGAAATGCTATTTCATTTTCTGATTCCTATGGTTAACTATTCGACAAAGAGTCGAGACCTCTTCTCCAGAATGCGCCGAATCTCTTTGGGTATCTTTCGGCCGATTCGATTGCCTGCTAGTTTTTGTGGCGACCATCGCGTCAGCCTCGTGAGCTTTCTGGACGATGGTCTTATATACGTCTTCCACTAGAGCTGGTCTCAAGTTAACTTGTTCAATAGAGAGGCGCATTCCTAAGAAATCTGCACGGCAAAAGTTTCAACTGCACGTTTGAGGTTCCGGATTTCCGGCCTAGTAGCAGATGAAATGAAAGGCCAGTATGCAGTGGTCACTGTCTCATCGTAGCGTTAGTCAACATGTGATCGACGAGGTGCCATGCTGAGTCAAAGCGCTCTGTTGAACAACATGGGCCTTTGCCGCTGCAAAAAGTCCACTTGATCCGACGCGCCGAGGCTTTACACAGGAAGATTTTTGTGGGTTGAAGTAACCTAAAAGCCAGAGATGAGTGGCCTGATAGCTGGAGGAGAGTCGCTCAGGGGTTTGTATGGGGAATTAGTCATCTTCCGGAGGACTCGATGGGTTTCGGTGGACCACACTGAGGAGAGAATGGACCAATGCAGGGGGGTCATAACCCACGGTGCATCTGTAGATGGTGCAGCAGTAGTATCCGGGGGGACGATCGGGAAGAGCAGTAAATATGTAAATATGAAGCAACCCATCGTCCCTCTCACGCTTGGAATCTGCTTTGTAGACAGAGTGGCTGTCAATCAAAATGTTTGTGCCAGAGGCATATGGTGTAAGATGGGCCTCCGTGGGTGCGATTATAGACAGCCGTTCAAGGCAAACCGACCTCTTAATATCACAAAGTTTGTTGGAAATGCTGAGGTAGTTTGCGGACATTGCGAAGCTCAGTTATTGGTCCGCCAAATAAAGTGTGGTAACCAACGGTTAGTGACCTTTTGGATCAATTTAGTTTGGGCAGTCCTCCTGCACGCGAGTGCCAATAGAAACACTGCTGAACTCCAACACGATTTTGATTGAAAAGGTCCATTAATCGCACAATGCTATTAGTTAGAAAACCTTAAGAAAAAGAGTAAAACGTTTTGTACAAGAAATTTGCATTTTATTGCGTGTGTGCTCAACCAAAAAAGCATCATAATTTACACCCTTGTTTTTGCGGCTCACCAAATTTCATTTTCCACTGGAGCAATCATACCTCCGGCGGAGTCCAGGGGAATTATTTCCCAGCGTCACTGGAACCTCGGGATGCCTTAATGAGGTTCAAAAGTTGGAAATGTTGCTGTGAACCTCATCACCCGCCGGCTTTATTTAATGAGGAACACGTCAATTTCAATTCCATTGTGCGGATACTGAAAGTCTTGAAAATCAGTGTAATGAAAACCTTTGTATTGAGCGCCAATATTTCCATGCAAGCTTTATCGCACCGTAGAGTTTTGATGAGCTTCGGTAGCAGCAAGCTCTACTACATGTGAAGCGTTATGTCCCGCTGTTTTGTTTTTCTATTCTGCCACCGCGCACAGTTTGAACGCATCTCGTGATGGTTAGTTGCACGACTTCTTGCGCCTGATTTTCTCTAGGCGAAGCGAACTAAGAAGGTTGGGATCGTGGGAAAGTACGGAGTACGGTATGGTGCTTCGCTAAGAAAGACCATAAAGAAGCTGGAGGTTAGCCAGCATGCCAAATACAACTGCAATTTTTGTGGGAAGGTGTGTTATGTGTCATTAATCTTTAAGTCTCGCAGGACTCACTTAAACGAAAAGCAGTTGGTATATGGGAGTGCAAAGCATGCAAGAAGGTCCTTGCCGGTGGTGCCTACGTTTGCAGGTATGTCCGATAGATAAACTTGCTTATCCTGTTTAGTACGACGGCCGCGGCCACCACCCGCGCTGCAATCAGGCGATTGAGGGACGCCCACGAGGTCTAACTTGTATTATAAAAAGAAAAATAAATGGTTTCCTATGAAGCTGAGGTCTCATTCTATTGGGTCCGCAATAGATGCTGAGATCAGATGCCCGTCGTGAATTTTGCGCCTGGCGAACATGTGTTGTCAGTCTGTGGGTGGCGATAGGCGGATGCCAATTTACTGGTACGAAGTGTAGCCATGGGTTTTGGCGCGAATTCCCACCGTAAGGGACAATTCTTCAGGTTTACAGAGAGGAGCAGAATGCACGGGTGATTAGAAGTGATGCTATCGGGCGCCATTGAGTGTGGGGGAAAATATGGATATATAAACGGTATAAAACCTGTGTATCCCTTGGTAATGTGTCGCTAAATGTCCGTATGAAGGGAGAATGTCTTCGATGTCAAGTTGACTGGGTTAGTTTCCCTGGCTTCGGCCTATCGCCCTGGTGGGAGTAGTTTGCAGTATTCGGGGATGTGCGCCCAGAGACTGATCCATGGTGTAGGATAGTTGGGACCGTAGCAGTGTGGACTGTTCCGTCGACAGCCGAGGCGGTATCACTTCGGCGCCACAAATGCCTGAGAGTACTGAACTTCCCGGCCTCCGATTCGAGAATGCAGGATACAAGCCACCTGACTCAGGTGCTTTGTTGCGATAAAGAACGCCGGACTTTCGCTGTCAATGGCGGACTGTTGTCGGCATTTTATTTATGTCCGCAAGGTCCTTTTAGGGGTTTAGTTGATTGGAGACAGCCGTCAGGTAGTATGGTAGATGGCCCTTCCCTCCTAAAGATGTGCGGATGCGTAAGGTCTGCTTGAAGCTCTCGCCTGAGTTCAAGCGCTGTCAGCCAATGATGTCTGTCACATTTCCTCACAAACTTTGTCACGGATATGAATATGGGACATTTACTCGCAATATGGGGCGAGATGGCTCAAGTGGTTGGAACGCGAATTACTGTTCGGAAGGTCCGTGGTTCGAACCTAGCCTCTGCCTCTCGACCTCTGTCTAGGCCCGGGCAATCTGGCAGTATACCAGTCCTCCTGCTTGCTTCGAGTGGCATGGCAGTTAGGCACAGGAAGGGTTTTGCATTTGAAAGGGTATAGAGTATAGTAATCACACTATTTTATACCTGTAGGGTCGGAATACCCCCGGGGCACTCTCACTTGTACCGATTGCACAGACGACATAGCTCTTCTTAAATCTGACACCGTTGTAATGCAAACAGTGCTGAATAATACAAATAATTCTAACCCGGTTTCGCATGCGCTTCACACGTTCAAACTGTGGAGAGCTGCAAGACTGACTGGGCTCCAAACCAAACCTCATGCTGGTGAATGAGCCTACTGATGTAGTAGACATTTGTCTACCTGGGCGACTTTGTCAGTCCCTGTAGTATGGCAGAATTCTGACCCACGAGACAGAGAATGTAGAGTTTTGTTTGGGAGCCCTCCCATCGAGTTTCGGTGGTGTCGCCATGCCACCTGGCTGCACTCTTTAGTCGTGTGGCAGTCCGTTATTCAGGAACCGACATGAGTTCAGTAGCAATTCTACTCGTGATGGCATAAATTCTTACAGGATTTTGTGATTCGCAGTACAGGAGCTATAGGTGTGGAGCAGAGTATGTAAAGCGGATGACCTCAGTAAGAAAGGTAAAAGTGAGGGCACCAATGTGCAGCGAAGCCACTCTGAAACTTAACAGTTGGAAGGAATTAAATAAAGGATGAGCGGTCACCTCAACAGATTCACGCCATAGCATCTAGTCTCGCGATTCCAGCGTCGGGTGCGGAAGCAGGATATGTATAACATTCGGACTTGGACGGTGGAACTTTGTTTACTAGCCAAGGAGATGTGTCCCAGCTTCCACCATAGATAATCATCATCGACCGAATGACATCAGTGTTCAACACCGTTGCTTCACTGCCGTACAGCCGTAGTGTGAAGAAAAGAGTAAAGGTGGACGGGGAAGGGACTTGGTGCTAGCTTACCACAATCATTCCGAGATGCCTATACCTCCAGAAACTAACTCAGGTGATCAGGATAGAAAGTGACAACAAGAAGGCCACCGACATCGGTTGACAGCCATGTCTTGTAGTATCTCCAACCGAGCACAGTGAGGATCACACGGTCCCCATCCTGGAAGGCGAGTAGCACCGACAGCACCCAAGCGTTTCGTGATTTCTTTCATACCCCTCTGCCAAGTCAAGGGTTGGACACCCCTCTGCTTACGCCACTGAATTGGGCACGCAAAACAGCACCTTTCGGCAGCCGCTGGTTATGCACTCGCAAGCAACGCAGCTTCTGGTGCTGGACACATTCTTCAATGAAAGTACTTGTTGCTTCGTTAGATATACGCCGACACCAACCCACACGAGCTATGGTTCCGAGACAATGATTGTCGAACACCTGAAGGCGCCTCAGCTCCGCTGCTCGAACAGGCCATCATCATCATTGTCAGCTGTAATCGTGTACTCGTCGTACAGTGGTTGTAGCAGTTTCGTTCACCGATGTTTTTTTAGGGGGGTTGGGGGTTGGAAAAGGAGCTATGCATTGAAGGCAATAGCTTGGATGCACGAGCGCCATTGAGGGCGCCGCTGGGCCATATCTGACAATGTCTCTAGCCATTGATGTGGCTCGCCTCCGGGTCCCCATCCAGGAAGACGGCAATTACCAGCGCAGCTGAGTTTGCTGGTAATTGCTTTCATACCTCGCTGCCAAGTCATTGTTTGACCGCCTCTGGCTCTCTTCCACCCTTCA